TAATGCAGCACAAACTATGCGAAACAAAACTCTCACTGCAAATTCCATTTTCGAAAAAATCAAAATATAATAAAGCAGACTGGTTTGGGTTATTAGATAACCATACAAAATTGTCAATGCGTAATTGAATGGACCATTCCATTGATTAAAACAGTCCCAAAGTTCATTGAGTTGTGTCATAATTACTTCTAATTCCGTTTCCAAATTCGGATGATTCGTCTTTAGTACTTGCAGATCTTCCGATAGCTTCTGGATAATCGTCATTAAACACTATAAAAATAATAATATCATTAGATGTATAAAATAAATGAATTTAACGAACACAATTTTGAAATTACATTGGTTACAAAAACAATTCTGGCCAATGTAACTTTCCCTAACTATAATTCAACTCCTTCACAGATTTCGCAATCATTTCTTTGCATTTTATCTAACGTAAGAGCAGTGATTTTTAAACGTGTCAACAAATTTTCAGCATCACGCTTAATTCCAAGGTTTTGGACTTTAGCCACTATATCGTTGCGAATTACGAGCACGGTTTCCTCGTAAACCTGTTAACATAAGATTTTTAACGGTTTTTAGGATTAAACACTTCATACTTATCATTCAATACACGAATAGAGTTAACTAGCATTAGAGTAAACAGTCTGTTTACAAAATAAAATAATCTTATATTTCATCTTATCATTATTATCACAAGTATATTATTACTATAAGAAATCACACTTCAACACATATGCTTTATGATCTTCTTTTAACGGGAGTGAGAGAGCTCTGTTGATCCTACTACTCCCTTATTCTATACTATGTTAAGTGGACTCGACTTTAAAATTCTGAAAAAATTCTAATTAATTTGAAGTAAAAATACTAAATAAGAGAGGGAGGGAAAAAAAAGAAACTCTCAGATGGACTTCACTTTTCTCACAGGAAATCAAACGGAAATGTTTTATCATAGAATTTCTTTTTACGAGGCTCGAACCCATAACATCCAGTTATACCGGTTTAATACCGTTACCACTGCTCCACCAAGCCCCACGTCGGAAATCTTTTGTTATACTATATAACTACAGTAGAACCCCTCTAATCCGTCATCTTTGGGACTGGGGGTATGGTCGGAACGCAAAAAAGGTCGGATTATCAGAAAAGAGTAAATAAAATAAACAATCTTCCCCTTTGTCTAGTCTTTGTAGCACTGCTAATTTTTCATTTAATGAAAGAGTAACGTGTTTACGTTTCACTCCTGACACGTTGAAAACACACACAAAACTGTACATGTACACACAATGTAAAACATATACTGTAACGAACACAGAAAAACGCCATGGACGGTGAGTCACCGACGAGTCGGGACAAGTTTCTAGACTCCGACCACGGTCGGATTAACCGGAGTGACAGACTAGCCGAGGGCGGACTAGAGGGGTTCTACTGTATATGAGATTTGCCATTTCGGTTGCGTGTCTTCCTTGGAAGCGCCGCTTTCTTTGTATTTTCTAAAATATGAAAATAATCGCACAATATGTATTTATATTTGAACGTATCTTATTATAAATTTCTATACTACACGTGAAAAAAAAACGATAAGATTGTTATTGTATATTCGAATATAAATTCGTATATGGTTATTCCCAATAGAAGCGCCGTATTGTCGAATATGGGACAGCTTCCACGACGAAAATATTTGAATGGTGTAAAACAACCAGATTATAAGCATTAGCGCATGCGCTCAGAGCACCAACCACGCGGTGGAAACTAGTAGTGATGTGCCGGATATCCGTATCCGTATCCGTATCCGCGGATATCCGGGGGAAAAAAGATCCGTATCCGTATCCGTATCCGTTACTTTTTAGCGGATCTTTAACGGATCTTTTATCTTAATGAATTTCATTACTTATATGAAATTTTAAAGATAGGTAGCAATAGCACATTCGTCGTTTACTATCGTAAAATATTTCCATATTACACTACTAAACTTTTTTGTCGACATTGTTTTTATTTTAATTTAACTCAACACTCTCCAAAAACACAAACGTAATCTACGCTATCCCGTGTCACACTAGCCACAAACCAGTGTTTCCCAACGTGGGGCCCACGCCCCACAGGGGGCAATTGGATTGCTAAGGAGGGCAATTCGAAAATGGACTTGTCCAGAGTTTAAGTTAACCGTATAGCCGCTGTATATGTTAGGGAGACATAAGAATTTTAGAAAGGCTTAGGTGGGGCATAGCACAAAAAAGGTTGGGAAACACTGCACTAAACTATTGTGGCGGTACGCTATATTTTTGTAAATATTAATTTTAGTTTAGTTTCGTTTCTTCTTTCTACCCTTTGTTCTATTGTTCTATTTTCTTCTAGAACTTTCTTATCTATTCCCTGTCCCTTGGGTGGGATGAGCAGTTCCTAGAAATTTGAGGAGCAAAGGTGTAAGCAGGAGCCGGAGAAAAAAGAGAAGTGACGTAGCAGGTCATTCGTAAACCGGACGGCAGAGTGTACGGACGAGGTGAGAATACTGGGAGTCGTATTTTCAATGACCGGATAGTTCAGAAATAAGTTCAGAAAAAAGATCATGTTTTAAGGTCGTATTGACGACTGTGGAAGGAAAAAATCCTAATTATTGTAGAAGAGAAGTGGCCAGTTATAGGAGAAGGACGTGTGTTATCCCACCCAATAGTACGCATAAAGAAACAAGCCGAAAAAAGGGACAAAACCCCAGATATCCCTATTTCTATCTTATCTACCATTTTTTCTGTCTTCTTAATTCTATCCCTTTTTCTGTTATTAGTGTTAAGTTAGTGTTTAAGGTTAGTTTTAAGGTTCCGGGTTATATTGTCGCGATCGGGATCTGTATTGTACACGTGCTTTGGATACAGCGAACTATTATTATCGCTGTAATTTCGCACGCTACTGTTTGCACCGTGAAGTTGGAATCCCCCGAAATAGAATCTGTATAAAGACGCGAAATAGCTTAATTGGAAAATTATATCAACTTTTGTTACTTTATCCTGTCTGCCTTTGTGGTGAATTATAATTTAGCACACTTTCACACTATAAACAAAAACACGCGCAGTGCAAGTCAAAACACGTCGCGTTACTAACGCAAAGCGTCAACTATCGGTCCAAGGTCACACGCACCGCCGCCGACTGAGTACGAAAGTAGAGATCCGTATCCGTATCCGTATCCGCGGATCTAGACACTAATGATCCGTATCAGTATCCGTATCCGCGGATATACATTTTTAACGATCCGGCACATCACTAGAAACTACACACACAACGCTTCCAACGATTGTATCCAGGACCGGTTCTGGGCTGTTAGCCGCCCGCCCGCTAGATATTTGGCCGCCCTCGCCCGATTATGTGAATCACCAGTAGATTTATAACTTAATCCAATCGATAGGGAGTATTTGATAGTTCTGTATAGATGACAAGAGTTTTAAAAAAATCCATTACAATATTTGATATATTTATTCGCTCTCCCATCTTGTATTACAGATTTCAATATTAAACTACTGATATTACGATTTAGTATGTCCCATCTATAAGGGGATGCAGAAAAAACGTGTACAATTCTTGTACAATGTTAAAAAATTAACTGTTACTTTGGTAGCATCATTTGCAACTAAATTTAATGAATGAGAGAGATGCACCAGGTACAAAAAAGCTCTAGAATTTATATTCCTTAAATTTGCGATTTACGTATCGTTGTCATAAAAATTTGTCTTTCAAGTGGAAAGACAAATTTTTATGACAACGATAGACAATATCCCAAGACTACAAGTATTCAAGTACAAAGTAAGCGGTTTCAACTTATTTCTACTTAAGAAGTAGTTAAATAATTAAGAGATTAGGGAATTGGGGACAAAATAAAACCTTGCCGGAAGAGCTGGAATTTTACTTAAAAGCTTAAATTATCTCTACCATAGTATTTGAGATATTAGTTTCAACAATTTTCGAGACAAGAAGCTCTTTTATAATTAAATCAATTATCTTGTTTAATTAATAATACCAAACTAAAGACTTGCCAATTACTAATGTTTGGTGATTTTAATATTGACATAATAAAAAACAGTTTACGAGTATTAATGAATTAATAAATTTTTGTTACTCTGAAAATTTAACAATAATGGCAGATCTTAACCAACCGACTCGAATGGATAAATATATTCACTCGTTGAATGACTATGGTTTAACCAAAGTTTATGAGTCTAGGTTTTCCATCCATCCAGATTTACTCTCTGACCATACTCCTATTCTTGCTTTTCTTCCTTGGAAAGACATTGAAATGAGTATTAATATAATAAAGAAAAGGAGAAGAATCAACAAATATTCTATAAAATATTTACGGTATGCCTTATACTCTAGTTTTTCATGGAACTATTACTATATTTCTGATTTATCCTCTTAACAGTTGGCTAATTATCAAATGAAAAAATCTGTTATTACCAACACCCAAACACTGTTCCGGCCGAACTTCGCCGATCTACCAAATCGTATATAATTTGAACGCTTTAAACGAAGAATATAAAGATTTAAAATCCTACAAAAAATTAGATACCATCAAGGGCTTGAATTATTTTTAGTTTTGTATGTTAATTGTTCTTTTTGTATGTTTGTTGCGGTGGATTTGTATTTTGTTTTGGACGCTTGAAAAAGGATAATGGCCACGGTGTCGCAAAGTGAAAGCAAAAGTAATAAAAACTCGAAACGAACTTGATATTATATAAATTTGTTATACTCATTTTATTTGTTTTAGAGATTAATCGGTAGCGTTCATTAGTAAATACAGTATATACAAAATACTTAAAAGAAAAATACACGGATTTATCTATATCAACAAAAGAAAAGAACTAGCATATTTTATTACATTATTTCGACAGTCAAAATTATCTGTCTATATAAAAAATATTAAATTGAAACGCACGGCATTTTTTCTAAGATAATAATTTTGACATTTTTATTAGTATTTTTGAGTGACGCCATTAACGAAAACGAGGGGGCGTGACTGTTCCTTCCGCAAACTGAAAGACAGTCGTCTGTTTTGCATGTTTTCTTTCGAGTATTTTTTTCCCTTCTAAATGATGAAATCAACTTCAGTAAGTACTTTTTATATAAGAAAAAATTAATTGAAAAATTATATACACAGAAATACTTGAGGTAGAATGTTGCTATACTTTTTTTTTTTTTTTTAAACATACAGCAGCAACTTAATCAAGTTTGTTCTGATGTTTTTTCGTCAAGAATATGTTTTCGTGGTGATTGCACTTTTCTCATTTACTTAATGGGAGTTTCCTAGATGTAGAATGTAGGAGAAGTATGTGTGTGGGTATTGATATTAAATAAAGACAAAAGTCTAGTCACAGATTCAGGTTAGAATTGAAGTGAGAAGGGAAAAAGACAGATTAAATGCAAAAAGGAAGCACCAGGGGTAACCCGGTCAGAAATGGAGAAGGGACAGAAATGTAGATGTTCGCCTAGGTAGCCCCAATGGCTGTATCGTTTTTAACAATTTAGCCCACACGACTGTGCCGGCTTCCAGTAGCCCACTTGACTGTACGTGGAGTACTTGATGTTATATAGTTTTAGGGGGTTGTGGGGCTCGTCCCCACCTGGGCAATGAGGTGAGAGCATCCCGGGCATGCATGTACGTGCTAAGCGTGTAGGATAGTGGTAGACTGATAAGTGTTAAAAACTGACATTTGGAAACGAATATCACGCCGAGGGTCGACGATCGTGGTGGTGGTGGTGTGATTTATGTAAAAAATATGAAATAAAACATTGATTTTCCTTAAAAAAGTAGTGAAAATGGCATTGACGGAGGTGCCGCCGTTGGGGCACCTAGGTGAACGTTTACCGACAGAAATGCTGTTGTGTGAGCACCCGCCGGTATACAACGTAGCAGGAAAAATAAATTTTATACACAATTCTCGTGCAAAGAAAGGCAAAAATTCCTAGTGGGAGAAGGAATGGTTCGTTCGTTCCATATCAAATAGTGGTTTGATACGGAATGAACTTGACTGTACAAACTTGGTTCTTTCTTCTATGCTTTGGAGTGAAGAGTTTACACGTTTCTAGTTGCTTAAATGCAAATCATTTAATTCATAATCATACATCAAATTAAAAAGTGATCATAAATTCTTAGTATAATGTTGTGAAATGAGTCAAAAACTATTTATTTGCTCAAATTTTACAATTTTAAAGTTTAATTGGTTGTAGATTTAAATTTTGTAGTAAATGCAGTTTTTACTAATTTTTAAAATGTTTTGTTCTTAACTTTAAAATATGTTTCTGAAATTTGACATATATTTGCTTTAATTTTCTCATCTATTGTTTACTTAGCATTTAAAATCTCTTAGTTCATTGCAGAATGATTATTTATATTCTAAAAATGTCAAATTTATTTTTTTTTAAACAATTGTATTGGGATAGATCAAGAAGTTTGAATACTAAGTGAATGAATAGATATCACTGGAAAACTGCCATAAAGGAAATGTAAGTCATATTTTATATGTTCCTGAACATGACATTTCTGTGTGAACTGAAAATGTTTTAGGAAATGGTATTCATTCATACTTTTTTATGTTTAAAGATTGAACCAAAGACCAAACTCCTCTTTTTGTTGTTTCACTTCAACATAGTATATGCCAATATTATTATTTCTTACTGTAATATTTTCAAGTATAAAATAACAAATACTTGACATTTTTTTAATATACAAAGCATTAACATTTAACATGTAAAACATTATGTTGAAATTATAGCTTATGCATTTATATATAAATTAATATTCTTATGTATTCTTAATTTGTAAAAAACCATTTAAATATATGTGAGAGTGATTGAGTTTACTTTGATTGTAAAAATTTAGAACTATAAAAAATTAGTCCACACACTGTTCAAAAAGTTCTTAAAATTATTTATAGGCCTACTGCTGAAAGGTGGAGTGTTAATCTTCCTTGTAGCTATACTTCTGTCAGAACTGTTGTCACAACTATATGTATAAATTAGTAGAACTTTACACAAATTTTAAAAATTGAAATTTGTCATGTTTTTAATTAAAAAAATTTATTATTATTATATATATAGTAGTCGTTATGTATATATTGTGTATAGTACAGTACATAACATAAATATGTATGAGCAGTTATTTATTGTGATATCTTCACAAAGCCCAGCTGCAATTTTTTTATCATATTTTTAATTTATTTAATTTAAAATATATGCTCTCCACCTCAAATTAGTAGTGGCTTACCCCTGTACATTATACTTTTCCTTTAACAATAGAGTCATGTTGGCCATCTATTAACTCCTTTTGTGGTAAAATTTTTGAATTGAAATAACGCATCTGGTTTGCATTGGAAATTCGTATATAGTTAATTGAGGCCTCCTGTCCGTAAGGTCTCCATATCTGGTCTTGTCATTCACCTATCTAACTCCATTCACGAGATTAAGGAAAGATGGACAGACAACAGTGGGAATTTATTGGTCTACAATTTTTTCAAATTGCAGCCCAATTACATGTGCAAAGTATATGATAAACATGGCTGCTCACAGCAGAGACAGGAAGGAAGGACATGCTGGGAAACTGATGCTGAAAAATCATAGATTCTCTACTATGGAATCAGATATTTGTTATTTATGTCCATAAGTTTTGTGAATGTCCATGATAATATATATGATACCATACATTAATTATCATAATTATTAAACAGTACTGTCTGTAAATAGGTAACTTTTATTATACTTGACTGTACAAACTCTTGAATTATATATTTTTAAACATATAAATGTATTTCTATAATAATATATAATTCTTAATTTTTTCATCATTGTCATTATTTCATTTTACTTTTTATAATATTAATTCAAGTTAATTTTGTAAAGAATGATTTAAAATTGGTTCAGTTGTTTTATTTTTATGACTACATACAATTGATTATTTAATATTTAAGAGAAGTGGTGTGTGAATCATGTTGAAAGCATAACAGAAACTATAAATATCATTATTTATCATCATATGATAATTATGTATAGTTATAATTTATAAAATATAAAATTCTTTGGAGACATTTTATTAACAAACATTGTGTTTTTCTTTTTGTTGGATACTTTGTAGGAAACATTTCATACTTATAATCTTAATTATTGGAAATGATAAAAATTTATTTGATTTTTATATGCTGAATTTTATTTTATAAATAGTTACATAACTTAATTTTCCTAGAAATCAAGTTAGAGTGAAGATCATTTAAAATTTTTTCTGAAATGAAAAAACTACTTTACCGATGCTGAAACTCTGACATCTAAAATTTTAAAATCATAATTTTAAAGTATTTTTATACAGTATATAAATTTAAAAAACTCTTTACTCACATAATTAATTTTTAAATTTTATGCTTACAATTTAGTTTGGAATTGACAGTTTAAATTGGGGGTAAGCAACCTTTAGTAGGGGTGCAATGAAAATTTTAAAAACCATTGAGAGCACATTGTGATTTTTTTCAAAAATTAAACTATGTTGTAAGAAATAAACAAAATAATTGTTTTGAAATATGTATATTTATACAAAATAAAGATTATACATGCATATAATGACTAAAAAATGAAATTGATGATTTGCTTTTTTGTTGAGTCAAAAACTTAGTGCTCATAGATTCATTCATAAAAAATGAAAATTAAAAGTACCTACATAAAATAACACAAAATCAAATTAAATTATTGTAATTTTATTTAATTATTTTTTTAATTAATTGTTGTGCAAATCATTGTTTTTATATTAGAATTTGTTTTGTAAACACCATTAAAAATATTGAAATAATGATAAAAATGATTTTGAATTGAAATAAAAATATAATTTTTCAAAACATATTGTAAAAATTACAAATAATAAAGACTTATGCAAATAACAATATTCTTGTGGTCTTCCTTGTTGTCCTTTTCACAATCACAGGAAGCATGACCACATTGGCCAAGCTGACCTTTCCTTATAAGTTACATCCCTGCTTATAACTATGCAAATTGAGTAAAAGTTCTGCGACTTTGGATATTTTCCATAAAATTCTAAAAAATGTGGATTATGATTCCTGTGGTTGTGAAAAGAATGACAAGGAAGACTACACAAATATTTTTATTTGTATAAGTCTTTATTATTTGTATTTTTTACAATATGTTTTAAAAAATATATTTTGTCCTGGATTTTTTAGAATCTTTTTTTCTTTAAAATATGTTATACAGTACTATTAAAATTTATTATTTTATATAATTAAAAACTATAACCATACAACCATCAGCCAAATTAATGAGGCAGAAATTATGCTACAAATTAGCCTGATCAATTTGGCTGATAGTTGGATGATTATTAATACATTGGGTTCTTGTGATGTTTATATTTATATTAAAAACTATGCTAAATTTACTTAAATATGCAAAAGTTAAAATATGAAAGAAAAAAAATGTTTTTATTATTATAAATTTTTGTAGAAAATTTGTTAATTATTCATGAGTTATATGTATTTATTAAACAATTAATTCTATTACAATAATTTAACAATTTTATTAATTTTTCAAAGCAAAACTATGTGCCTCAAGATGAAATATTAAATATCACTGATGAATTCTGTAATACATTTTCAGTATTCATTTGTTTAAAATTTGTTAATGTCTTAAGCATACTATTGTATTTTTTAGATGTCTTATATATATGGAATTCTTTTTATCCTCTTAACTGCTCCTGACCTTTCATGTTGAAATCAGTTTTGAATAGAAACTAAATGAATTTATTCTCTCTTTGTTAACAGTCATATGTTCCATTATGTTACTTCATTTCATTTATTGACTATTATAAACTGTAAAAAGCTAAAGGGTACAATTTAAGTTTTATAAATTAATAAATAATATGAACCTAGTTGATATCTTTATGATACAAGTGTATGACTGTTTTGAGAACTAAATATTAAATTAAAATGAAAATTATTTTTTAAAACTAATTTATAATTTTATTTATTTAAAAGAAATTTTTTATGATTTTATATTTATATTTTGATACATCAGCAATTTATTATATCATGTTTTTCCTTCTTATTTTAACTAGAAACCATTAAAATATAGTTTTAATATTTATTTTTTAAAGATTTAATTACATTTTTTCCTTTTTTTTAATAAGGAACTTCCAATATGATTAATCCTGTTGATTTATTTTTTAGAAATTCTGAACTAATTTTTAGCATATAATTATTGTTAACTATTGAACAGTTTTATTCCATTTGGCTAATCTTAATTAATCAGCTTTGAGTACCATATCTTTGTGCATATAACCAATGGGATATCTGTGTTTGAAATACTTTTTGACTGGAGATATGGGTTTTATGATGTGATGGGTTATAAGTTAATTTAAAATTGCAGTTACAAACACATACAGTGCAATGGCTAACTTCCATAGGCACAAGTTAGGCAAAGATCTGTGAAGTATATGCCATTATACATTATATGCTACCATAGGTTATAAATATGAAAATACAATAGTAAAATTTTTTACTTTTGGTTTGTTATTTCATAATCTCTAGAAAAAGAATTAGCTTATACTAATTTAATTCTTTGTGTGTAGTTATTAAAACAAGACTGTTTAATGTCTTGTTTCTGCAAGATTGACTAGTTTATATAATCTATATTTGTTATCATGATTACTTTCATGATATTTTCTAAAATAAACTTTTACCGAAGATTAGTTTGTATTTAACAAATTATAAAATATCAATAGTTGCCCTATCAAATAGCAAAGGCAAAATTTTCTCCTAGTTATTCTACCACATTTTATTTGGATATGTTTAAAAATAAAGAAACAAACAAACTTGCATGTTGCTCTAAACGTATGTTTATTGAGATATAATGGCTTGAAAATAGCATAGCATATCTTCAAGCCCCTAATAAGCATAAGCAATTGAAGAGGAATGTTTTGCACTATATATAACAATATATGTAATTGCCAAATGAAGCAGGGTCTGGGTATTATAACTGGGTTAAAAAAAAGTACTCAAAAATGTTTTTATTACATTAATAGCTCAAAAAAAAAATCAGAAGGTCTGGATAGCATAACTGGCAACATAACCACATGGCAAGCAGGAATTACGGGTTCAGGGCTCACTCCAGGTTGATTCTCCACTTCTAGAATAATCTAAATTAAATTTAAAACTTAATTTATTTTTAATTACATTGGAAATTTGATTATCCAAACTTGATGGAACTAGGTATCTTTTGGATATGCAAAATTTCAGATAATCCAGAAACTTGTTTGTTTTTGTGTTTTTGATACAATTAATGTTAAATATATATGATCTGGATTCATGGTGCTACAATCAATATATGATGTAGCATTTTCTTTCTTGTTAGGATCACCAGCTATATTCCAATTAGAAAATTCTTGAGAATTCCAAAATTCTGCATCTGCAGAATTTTGGAATTCTCAAGAAAACTTGGAATTCTTGGAAGACTTTCAGTTTAAATTATGTTTATTTTGGTTGATTACATACATAATTTAACTGTAAGTTTTGAATCATTGAATTATCAGTAACATTCCTACACTGCTGCAGATGCAGGGTTATGGAATTCTCAAGAATTCTCTAATTAGATGATGTAGTAATTTTCAGTTACATGGTGAGTTTGAATCTGTTTATTGTACACTGTGATATGTACTCTATAATGCTTTTACATTCTAGTTTTGTTTTTTTTTTTTTCTTTTTTAGCTGTTTCAGATAATCAAGTTCTACTATATTAAATTTATTAAGCGATAGCAGCCTAATGCATTCCTCTAGACAAATTGCTTTGATTCTGATCATTAAGTTGCCTGAAAATATAATTCAATAAAATCTAACAGATCATTTAGCAATTGTTAAAGTATCAAATTGTTGTAGTTTATAGCAATATACATATTAAGAACTTAAATGTAAAAGATGTTAAAAGAACTTATTTTAATATTTTTAGTATTATTTTCATTTTCAGAGAACATTATGCAATCAGAAACAGTCAATGTATAAGATCAATCAATACGTAAGCTGTTTTGAATAAACTTGCTGATGACATTTGCTAAGTTATTTATAAGTTCTAATCAACTACGAGGGCTGTTCGAAAAGTTCGCGGCCTTGCCTATATGCGGCGCTGCGATCAATTTAATTTTTGGCGGGAATAATTCAGCCATCCTTGCTAAAGATACGATACCAATTTCCGTTTGATTTGTTGTAAAGGTTTGCCACGACAGCTTAGCAGATAGTCAATGTGCACATGCTTTGTCAAAAATGGAGAAGACGGAGACTCGTGCGGTCATAAAATACCTGACGAAAAAAGGGTTGACCGNTTTTTTTTTTTTTTTAAACATACAGCAGCAACTTAATCAAGTTTGTTCTGATGTTTTTTCGTCAAGAATATGTTTTCGTGGTGATTGCACTTTTCTCATTTACTTAATGGGAGTTTCCTAGATGTAGAATGTAGGAGAAGTATGTGTGTGGGTATTGATATTAAATAAAGACAAAAGTCTAGTCACAGATTCAGGTTAGAATTGAAGTGAGAAGGGAAAAAGACAGATTAAATGCAAAAAGGAAGCACCAGGGGTAACCCGGTCAGAAATGGAGAAGGGACAGAAATGTAGATGTTCGCCTAGGTAGCCCCAATGGCTGTATCGTTTTTAACAATTTAGCCCACACGACTGTGCCGGCTTCCAGTAGCCCACTTGACTGTACGTGGAGTACTTGATGTTATATAGTTTTAGGGGGTTGTGGGGCTCGTCCCCACCTGGGCAATGAGGTGAGAGCATCCCGGGCATGCATGTACGTGCTAAGCGTGTAGGATAGTGGTAGACTGATAAGTGTTAAAAACTGACATTTGGAAACGAATATCACGCCGAGGGTCGACGATCGTGGTGGTGGTGGTGTGATTTATGTAAAAAATATGAAATAAAACATTGATTTTCCTTAAAAAAGTAGTGAAAATGGCATTGACGGAGGTGCCGCCGTTGGGGCACCTAGGTGAACGTTTACCGACAGAAATGCTGTTGTGTGAGCACCCGCCGGTATACAACGTAGCAGGAAAAATAAATTTTATACACAATTCTCGTGCAAAGAAAGGCAAAAATTCCTAGTGGGAGAAGGAATGGTTCGTTCGTTCCATATCAAATAGTGGTTTGATACGGAATGAACTTGACTGTACAAACTTGGTTCTTTCTTCTATGCTTTGGAGTGAAGAGTTTACACGTTTCTAGTTGCTTAAATGCAAATCATTTAATTCATAATCATACATCAAATTAAAAAGTGATCATAAATTCTTAGTATAATGTTGTGAAATGAGTCAAAAACTATTTATTTGCTCAAATTTTACAATTTTAAAGTTTAATTGGTTGTAGATTTAAATTTTGTAGTAAATGCAGTTTTTACTAATTTTTAAAATGTTTTGTTCTTAACTTTAAAATATGTTTCTGAAATTTGACATATATTTGCTTTAATTTTCTCATCTATTGTTTACTTAGCATTTAAAATCTCTTAGTTCATTGCAGAATGATTATTTATATTCTAAAAATGTCAAATTTATTTTTTTTTAAACAATTGTATTGGGATAGATCAAGAAGTTTGAATACTAAGTGAATGAATAGATATCACTGGAAAACTGCCATAAAGGAAATGTAAGTCATATTTTATATGTTCCTGAACATGACATTTCTGTGTGAACTGAAAATGTTTTAGGAAATGGTATTCATTCATACTTTTTTATGTTTAAAGATTGAACCAAAGACCAAACTCCTCTTTTTGTTGTTTCACTTCAACATAGTATATGCCAATATTATTATTTCTTACTGTAATATTTTCAAGTATAAAATAACAAATACTTGACATTTTTTTAATATACAAAGCATTAACATTTAACATGTAAAACATTATGTTGAAATTATAGCTTATGCATTTATATATAAATTAATATTCTTATGTATTCTTAATTTGTAAAAAACCATTTAAATATATGTGAGAGTGATTGAGTTTACTTTGATTGTAAAAATTTAGAACTATAAAAAATTAGTCCACACACTGTTCAAAAAGTTCTTAAAATTATTTATAGGCCTACTGCTGAAAGGTGGAGTGTTAATCTTCCTTGTAGCTATACTTCTGTCAGAACTGTTGTCACAACTATATGTATAAATTAGTAGAACTTTACACAAATTTTAAAAATTGAAATTTGTCATGTTTTTAATTAAAAAAATTTATTATTATTATATATATAGTAGTCGTTATGTATATATTGTGTATAGTACAGTACATAACATAAATATGTATGAGCAGTTATTTATTGTGATATCTTCACAAAGCCCAGCTGCAATTTTTTTATCATATTTTTAATTTATTTAATTTAAAATATATGCTCTCCACCTCAAATTAGTAGTGGCTTACCCCTGTACATTATACTTTTCCTTTAACAATAGAGTCATGTTGGCCATCTATTAACTCCTTTTGTGGTAAAATTTTTGAATTGAAATAACGCATCTGGTTTGCATTGGAAATTCGTATATAGTTAATTGAGGCCTCCTGTCCGTAAGGTCTCCATATCTGGTCTTGTCATTCACCTATCTAACTCCATTCACGAGATTAAGGAAAGATGGACAGACAACAGTGGGAATTTATTGGTCTACAATTTTTTCAAATTGCAGCCCAATTACATGTGCAAAGTATATGATAAACATGGCTGCTCACAGCAGAGACAGGAAGGAAGGACATGCTGGGAAACTGATGCTGAAAAATCATAGATTCTCTACTATGGAATCAGATATTTGTTATTTATGTCCATAAGTTTTGTGAATGTCCATGATAATATATATGATACCATACATTAATTATCATAATTATTAAACAGTACTGTCTGTAAATAGGTAACTTTTATTATACTTGACTGTACAAACTCTTGAATTATATATTTTTAAACATATAAATGTATTTCTATAATAATATATAATTCTTAATTTTTTCATCATTGTCATTATTTCATTTTACTTTTTATAATATTAATTCAAGTTAATTTTGTAAAGAATGATTTAAAATTGGTTCAGTTGTTTTATTTTTATGACTACATACAATTGATTATTTAATATTTAAGAGAAGTGGTGTGTGAATCATGTTGAAAGCATAACAGAAACTATAAATATCATTATTTATCATCATATGATAATTATGTATAGTTATAATTTATAAAATATAAAATTCTTTGGAGACATTTTATTAACAAACATTGTGTTTTTCTTTTTGTTGGATACTTTGTAGGAAACATTTCATACTTATAATCTTAATTATTGGAAATGATAAAAATTTATTTGATTTTTATATGCTGAATTTTATTTTATAAATAGTTACATAACTTAATTTTCCTAGAAATCAAGTTAGAGTGAAGATCATTTAAAATTTTTTCTGAAATGAAAAAACTACTTTACCGATGCTGAAACTCTGACATCTAAAATTTTAAAATCATAATTTTAAAGTATTTTTATACAGTATATAAATTTAAAAAACTCTTTACTCACATAATTAATTTTTAAATTTTATGCTTACAATTTAGTTTGGAATTGACAGTTTAAATTGGGGGTAAGCAACCTTTAGTAGGGGTGCAATGAAAATTTTAAAAACCATTGAGAGCACATTGTGATTTTTTTCAAAAATTAAACTATGTTGTAAGAAATAAACAAAATAATTGTTTTGAAATATGTATATTTATACAAAATAAAGATTATACATGCATATAATGACTAAAAAATGAAATTGATGATTTGCTTTTTTGTTGAGTCAAAAACTTAGTGCTCATAGATTCATTCATAAAAAATGAAAATTAAAAGTACCTACATAAAATAACACAAAATCAAATTAAATTATTGTAATTTTATTTAATTATTTTTTTAATTAATTGTTGTGCAAATCATTGTTTTTATATTAGAATTTGTTTTGTAAACACCATTAAAAATATTGAAATAATGATAAAAATGATTTTGAATTGAAATAAAAATATAATTTTTCAAAACATATTGTAAAAATTACAAATAATAAAGACTTATGCAAATAACAATATTCTTGTGGTCTTCCTTGTTGTCCTTTTCACAATCACAGGAAGCATGACCACATTGGCCAAGCTGACCTTTCCTTATAAGTTACATCCCTGCTTATAACTATGCAAATTGAGTAAAAGTTCTGCGACTTTGGATATTTTCCATAAAATTCTAAAAAATGTGGATTATGATTCCTGTGGTTGTGAAAAGAATGACAAGGAAGACTACACAAATATTTTTATTTGTATAAGTCTTTATTATTTGTATTTTTTACAATATGTTTTAAAAAATATATTTTGTCCTGGATTTTTTAGAATCTTTTTTTCTTTAAAATATGTTATACAGTACTATTAAAATTTATTATTTTATATAATTAAAAACTATAACCATACAACCATCAGCCAAATTAATGAGGCAGAAATTATGCTACAAATTAGCCTGATCAATTTGGCTGATAGTTGGATGATTATTAATACATTGGGTTCTTGTGATGTTTATATTTATATTAAAAACTATGCTAAATTTACTTAAATATGCAAAAGTTAAAATATGAAAGAAAAAAAATGTTTTTATTATTATAAATTTTTGTAGAAAATTTGTTAATTATTCATGAGTTATATGTATTTATTAAACAATTAATTCTATTACAATAATTTAACAATTTTATTAATTTTTCAAAGCAAAACTATGTGCCTCAAGATGAAATATTAAATATCACTGATGAATTCTGTAATACATTTTCAGTATTCATTTGTTTAAAATTTGTTAATGTCTTAAGCATACTATTGTATTTTTTAGATGTCTTATATATATGGAATTCTTTTTATCCTCTTAACTGCTCCTGACCTTTCATGTTGAAATCAGTTTTGAATAGAAACTAAATGAATTTATTCTCTCTTTGTTAACAGTCATATGTTCCATTATGTTACTTCATTTCATTTATTGACTATTATAAACTGTAAAAAGCTAAAGGGTACAATTTAAGTTTTATAAATTAATAAATAATATGAACCTAGTTGATATCTTTATGATACAAGTGTATGACTGTTTTGAGAACTAAATATTAAATTAAAATGAAAATTATTTTTTAAAACTAATTTATAATTTTATTTATTTAAAAGAAATTTTTTATGATTTTATATTTATATTTTGATACATCAGCAATTTATTATATCATGTTTTTCCTTCTTATTTTAACTAGAAACCATTAAAATATAGTTTTAATATTTATTTTTTAAAGATTTAATTACATTTTTTCCTTTTTTTTAATAAGGAACTTCCAATATGATTAATCCTGTTGATTTATTTTTTAGAAATTCTGAACTAATTTTTAGCATATAATTATTGTTAACTATTGAACAGTTTTATTCCATTTGGCTAATCTTAATTAATCAGCTTTGAGTACCATATCTTTGTGCATATAACCAATGGGATATCTGTGTTTGAAATACTTTTTGACTGGAGATATGGGTTTTATGATGTGATGGGTTATAAGTTAATTTAAAATTGCAGTTACAAACACATACAGTGCAATGGCTAACTTCCATAGGCACAAGTTAGGCAAAGATCTGTGAAGTATATGCCATTATACATTATATGCTACCATAGGTTATAAATATGAAAATACAATAGTAAAATTTTTTACTTTTGGTTTGTTATTTCATAATCTCTAGAAAAAGAATTAGCTTATACTAATTTAATTCTTTGTGTGTAGTTATTAAAACAAGACTGTTTAATGTCTTGTTTCTGCAAGATTGACTAGTTTATATAATCTATATTTGTTATCATGATTACTTTCATGATATTTTCTAAAATAAACTTTTACCGAAGATTAGTTTGTATTTAACAAATTATAAAATATCAATAGTTGCCCTATCAAATAGCAAAGGCAAAATTTTCTCCTAGTTATTCTACCACATTTTATTTGGATATGTTTAAAAATAAAGAAACAAACAAACTTGCATGTTGCTCTAAACGTATGTTTATTGAGATATAATGGCTTGAAAATAGCATAGCATATCTTCAAGCCCCTAATAAGCATAAGCAATTGAAGAGGAATGTTTTGCACTATATATAACAATATATGTAATTGCCAAATGAAGCAGGGTCTGGGTATTATAACTGGGTTAAAAAAAAGTACTCAAAAATGTTTTTATTACATTAATAGCTCAAAAAAAAAATCAGAAGGTCTGGATAGCATAACTGGCAACATAACCACATGGCAAGCAGGAATTACGGGTTCAGGGCTCACTCCAGGTTGATTCTCCACTTCTAGAATAATCTAAATTAAATTTAAAACTTAATTTATTTTTAATTACATTGGAAATTTGATTATCCAAACTTGATGGAACTAGGTATCTTTTGGATATGCAAAATTTCAGATAATCCAGAAACTTGTTTGTTTTTGTGTTTTTGATACAATTAATGTTAAATATATATGATCTGGATTCATGGTGCTACAATCAATATATGATGTAGCATTTTCTTTCTTGTTAGGATCACCAGCTATATTCCAATTAGAAAATTCTTGAGAATTCCAAAATTCTGCATCTGCAGAATTTTGGAATTCTCAAGAAAACTTGGAATTCTTGGAAGACTTTCAG